ATCAAATGTAAGTTAGAGAAGATCGATCTATTAATTACACTACAAGTTTGATCAGAGTGAACGATTGAAGGCATAACTTGTTTCAGACGGTCGGTAATTATTTTGGAAGCTAATTTATAATCACAATTAAGAAGCGATATGGGCCGCCAATTCTTAGCCAAGCGTTTATCATCCTTCTTATAAATAAGACGCAAGAGGGCTTCGCGCTGGCTCGCACAAAGCGAGCCAACCCGAAAACAGTCATTCAAGACGGAGAGTAAAGGATCACATAATAAATGCCAGAAAGCTGAGTAAAATTCGACAGGAAGGCCATCAGAACCAGGCGATTTACCGGTCTGAAGGCCTTGCAAAGCGGCAGAAAGCTCCTCTTTTGTGAATAATCCTTCACATTGTTCGCGCTCTAAATCAGACAAAGAAAGGTCAAGATCATCGATAATTTGGGTCTGAATTTGCATATTAAGGGAATCCTTGGAGAATAAAGCTTTGTAAAAGTCAACCAAAACAAGTTCAATGTCATTATGCGAGAATTTTTCCTCGCCAGATTCATTAAAAAGAGACTCAAAAATATTCTTTTCCGCGCGTTTACGCTCCAGGCGAAAAAAGAAACGAGTGGGCTTCTCGCCCTCCTCGATCCACCGCGCTCGCGAGCGAACCTTAGCGCGCTCGCACTCGTTATTAATAGCTGCCTCTAAGGCGCTCTCAAGTTTGTTTACATTCGAAATCTGATCGCGATCGCCAGCAAAAACAGCCGATTTAGCTCTGAGTAAACGTTTGGTTAGAGAATTGCGTTCGGAAAGGAGTTGTCTACGTTTTCGAGAAGAGAAATCAATACAAGTACGACGAATCTGAACTTTCAAGTTATCCCACCAGCCTTCAAGCGAGTCAAACATAGGAATCTTTTCTTTCTCAGAAGTAATTAGCAGAGTCATAATATTAATAAAATCGTTATCGGAGAGGAGAGAGCAATTAAATTTCCAAACACCGCTTCCGTGCAAAGAAAGATTGACCGGGGAAATAAATAAATCGACAAAATCGTGATCGGAAAGGGGACAAGGGAAACATTTATTCCGGCGAAAAGACTGAACGAGCGAGGAAGAAATATAGAACCGGTCGAGGCGAGAAGCCTGGGAAAAATCCTTATTAGACCAAGTAAAAGAAATCGCTTTCGGATTCTTTTTACGAAAAATATCAACAAGGCAAAAATCGGACTTAAGGGCCGACAAGCAGCGCTTGTCCGCGCTAAAGTCCGATTTGATATTCAAGCGATCGAGATCGGAATCAATACAATTGAAGTCGCCGCCTAGAATTAGATCGCCGGGTGACAGAAAAAAGGTATGTAGACGATTAAAAAATAATCTACGGTCAGACACGGTGTTTGGAGCGTAAAGGCAAATAACGTTAAACTTAAAAGAGTTATAATTAACGAGGAGACTTAAAATTCTGCCATCAGTATCGTGGACATAGCGGATAATATTCCCAGAAAAATTAGGAGAGATAAAAATCGCTACACCAGCCGATTTACCAATCCCAAAGGACCAAAAACATTGGCCCTCAAAATTCGTCTCAACAAGATCAGCTTGAGTCTTACAGGAAATATGTGTTTCCTGTAGAAGAAAAATATCGTAATCAAGATTCTCATTTAACTCGTGAAGGAAAATATCACGTTTACGGGCAGTACCGAGCCCGCGAATATTGATGGACAGAATTTTAAGGGGCCCGAAGGTAAATTAAAATAAAAGAAAATGAACGAGACCTGCTTTTAGACTTTCGACGAACCGTAATCCAGCCATCATCATCATCATCGGAGCTAGAGTGAGATTCCTCTTCGTGATAGCGATGAGAGGAACGATCGCGGGCAGAGCGGTCACGATCGCGATCGCGCTCACGCTCGCGATCACTCCTCTCCTCCCTCTTCTTGTCCTCTCTTCTGTCCTCTCGTCTATCTGCTCGCTTGCCGTCCCGTCTTTCATCACGCCTGCCGTCCCTTCTACATTCGTAGTCATGATGGTCCCGGTGACTCGCCTTGCGATCCTTCTCCTCTCTCTTTCTCCGGTCGGATTCCTCGCGTTCTTTCCGCGCGCGGTCGCGTTCTTCTTTCTTCGCGCGCTCCTCGCGCCTTGCACTCTCAGCACGTGCTTTCTCCTCCGCTCGATTTTTCTTTTCCTCCGCTCGTTTGGCTACATCGGCTTCTTTTCCTTTTTCTGCTGGTTTGGCGTAACTGACAGCTGTCGCTTCCGCCATAGAAATGTTGGAGCTGTAATAAATAAAAGGACAGCGTGTCGTTGAGTGTGTTTCCCCGAGGCAAACTCTACAAAGAGGCGGTAGCGGGCATTCATCGGATCGATGCCCGGGTTGCTCGCAATTAAAGCACCGTTGCGAAGAACAGGTCGCCGCTAAATGACCCTCTGCACCACACTTTCTACAGGTCTTCGGTTGAGAGGGGTACCAAATTCTCGCAAATTCACCTGCAATAAAGGCTTGAGACGGAATGGGCTTATCAATAATCATTCGAGCCGTACGAACGCCATTGAATATACCCTCCGCGAGTCGGTCGCGTCGGAAAGAGTAAACCTTTCCGTAATGAGAAAGGCGGCCGATAACGACAGAATCGGGTAGCTCGACAGGAAGCTCGTACAGTTTAACGATGGAAACGCGATTCTCACAGTCGCCGAGGAAGACCATACAGCCCGCAATCCTGACGCTTGGCTCATTAAGGGCGGCATCCCTGGCGGCCTTGGAATTGAAACTGACAATCCACGTGTTGTTGCTTGCCTTTCGCTGGATTGATACGATATTGTCAATATCAATTCCAGCCTTATCGAAGCCGACGACAATGTCCTGGCTTGTTACAACAGTGTCGACCGAAAAGCACACCGAACACTCCTTCTTAATACGAGCTTGGGACCTAGCAAATTTCCACGAGTTAAACGAAACGGTCTGAAATTTGTGTCCGGCATGTTGCAAGGCTTGCATAATATCCGGCAGCTCCGGGGGGACATGATCAGAATTATCCGGGGGGGGGACTCGTAGAAGGTCTTGAAAACAATTCGGGCGTCGCAGTAGTACCGTCACTGTTAATCTCCTGGATCAATGGCTCTCCCACAATTGTAGAAGCACTCGAAAGAGACATCTCGTAGGTCGAGACGGGTGCTTACAGTGAAGTTCTAGCGAGGTACGAAAGGCTTGTTTAACAATAGTATCCTCGTTTTTACGCAGAAGATACAATATATAATGAAGCATGTTTTTGTAAATATTAAGACAATGTCTGTAAAAATCGAGCAAAATCGAAATTTCGCGGCCACAGTTAAATGAGATTTATTTCAAATAAATGGTTTTATGCTGAATGTGACTGATCATTATTGTATTTCTCCAGCTACCAGCAAAGGAGGGT